AAACCATCACCCTTGATAATATTCTATTTGCTCTAGATCTGCAGTATAGCCTGCTGTCCGAAGCTGTTGGAGATCTATTCAAGTCCACTTTCCCTAACGCCAAGAAGTGCGTTCTATTCTTTGCCCATCGCATCAAGTTCGAAGCCAAAACTGGACAAGACACTCGTCTGTACCAGTTCGAAGCTCGCCCGACGAACACCGAACAAGCCCATGCGGCCACGTCAGGATCTGGCGAAAACTGAGCAAATAAAAGACGTGGAATTGTCAAATTTTGACCCTAAGCAATACTACTTCTGCTCCTCATGTACTTATGCTAAGTCCCATCGTAACCCTTTTAATAAACGCACCGTTGAAAGGGATAAACTTCCCTCTCGAAATGGTTCATACCGACATGGCAGGACCTCTACCAGTTCAAACCCTGTCAGGATGTCAGTACTTCCTGATATTACATGATGACTACTCACGATACATGTTCATTTACATTATCAGGCGAAAGTCAGATCTGTACAACTGCTATGATAACTTTCGAAAGACGGCCCAAAACATGTTTCGTGCTGATGTTGGCCAACTCGAATTTCGTGATAATAAGTACGACGATGAAATTCGCAGTTTCCAAAGTGATACTGCTCGTGAATACGAGAAACTTGGTCGCATCATCTTTGAAAAGTACAACACACATGCCCAATTCACGAACGCTTACGCACCACAACAAAATTGCGTAGCAGAGAGGCGTATGCGCACACTGCTTGAGCGAACAAGAGCATTTCTAATCGACGAAAATCTACCCCATGTCCTCTGGAGAGAATGTGTAACTCATGTTGCAGATCCTCTTAACATGACCCCGAGCTCTGTAACAGACAAAATCACTCCATACGGAAATGGTTTAACAGAAAGCCATCCGCACAATATATATATATAGTTTTTTGTTGTACTGCATATGCGCACATTCCAGAGTTATATCGAAACAAACTCGAGAAATGAGCCAAGAAATGCATGTATCTGGGCATTCCCCCCAACAAGAAAAGGTTACCGACTACATGACACGACGGAAAATAGAATCATATATAGTCGTGATGTCATTTTTCGAGAGAAGGAGTTCCCTGACTTGGAATTTCTAGACTCTCAGGCGAGGAATGATTTACCCAGCCCCCTAGCTCAGGAAGATATAGGACCTCAATGTCCTCAACAGCTACCAACTATAAAGGAAATGCTAAATCGAAATACAAACGTGCTCGCTGCTGCCGATCATATCTCTACGCCAAAGAAATCAAAACACTCTAAAGAAACGACCCCAATTTCTACAT